GGGAGAGCGGGACAGAGGTCAGTTGTGGTTTTTATTATCTGAGTGGAAATGGACATCATTTACAGTTGTGGAATAAACACAGCAACTGGTCTTTTCCTTAAAATAATATTGAAGTTGCAAAGTTGACATTTTTAAGCTGTTGTCCAGTGAAGTATTTCATCCCTCATACAGTCAACGCTTCACTTTCTCTCTCTACGCTCAGAAAAAAATATTTATTGTTTCAGTAATATTTTGCCAATATTTTCTTATTTTTCTCTGCAGCCAAAGGGCAAAAAGCATTTAATTTCCCCAGCATGAAGATAATGCCATGAGTCCCAGCTCTGTGGAGGGAGCTGCTCAGCCAAACAAAAAGAGGCAGGACTATGCAAGAGCCTCTTCACCAGGCATGGACTCCTTCAGGCTCTTAATTCCTCTGTGTCTCCCAGCTTTAATTCATTCTTCCTCTTTACCTTGTTATTTTTCCTTTTGACCACTTTTCTATGCTCTAAGGTCAAGGGTTTTCCCTATGGAAAGGAATTTAGCCTCTCCTAGCCTTTCTTGTGCCATTTGCCCACCTGGCATCACATGCCCCATACTAAGCCTGGCAGTGCTTGGGCATGCAGGCACTACCAATAGCCAGGCTGTTCTCCCTTGATTCCCACCCAAGAGAAGAGCACATTTCCCACCTCTTCAGGCTCATGCCAGAGTGACACCTGCTCAGACTGGACAACCTTCTCTCCCTTCACATGCTGGCACACAGGGCAAGAGAGGGCTGTGTGCCCCAAGCTCCCACTGCCGTGTTCCCATCGTGGTGCTGCTGTTCCGCAGCTGGAGCCAAGCGTGGCAGAGACAATGTGCTGGAGCATTCTGTCTGAGGGGAGTTCGGGGAGGGGAGAGGGAAAAAGGCCGTTAGATCTATCGCTGGCAATTTAGATTCAGAGACATTTCATCTGCAGTTCCCTCAAGTGTTGAATTGAATAAAACCAGCAGCAGCGGTGGAAAAGGAGGTGGGGGAAGGGCTTCGAGCACTCTCAGCTAAACAAAAAGAGACAGGCAGCTCATAAAAAAGGAATTGCATCCTTGGGCTGAAAATCTGGATTCACAGGGCAGAAGGGGAGGGCGTGTGGCAGAGCCCATCCGTGGCCAGGGGCCAGGCAGTGCTGCCAAGGGCTTCTGGTGCTCCCACAGCAAGAGCAGATCACAGGGCTTACTTCTGGGTTTCCTGATTTTCTGTGGATTTTTGAAGCTCCCGTTGTAGAATCAAGCAGGAAGAACAGAGTCCTGGGCTTTGGCTGCAATCTAAAAAAACCCCCGATACTTCACTTTCCAGTTCTTCAGGAGAAAAGCACAAAAGTGAAACCCTCAAGGGTCAAAAATTCAGAAGAACAAGTAACTTAGCACTTATCATTTTGTAAACACTTGCTGTTGAGGGCCAGACTCATCATTCCCAAATGCGGCTGTGGTATGGCAGAACTGTCTTCACCATTAGATGTTTCTGTTCCTCTGCCTTTGAGGGAATTGTTGCTGATGGCTATTCTGGCTATGCACCACAGCACTGGATTTGTCTGGGTTTGTCCCATTCCCCACGTGTCAGGTGAGGACAACTTTCACAGGAGCACTCAGCCTGGCCAAGGGTGGGAGGAGAGCAGCAGACATTGGAGAGAATTGGTTTATAGCAGAAAATACAGCCTTGGGGTCTCTGCTGCCTTGTGTGAGTGTGATGCCAACACCTCTGTGGTGCTGTAGGGCTGACTGTGGCTGCCCTCAGGTGGGAAGGCAGGCCTTTTGTTTTCCTCCCCTTCCCGTCTTCTTTATTACCCCCTGCTTCCTCGTAACCTTAGTGACAGACCCTTATGCTTTGCTCAGCTGTGCTTCAGACCAGGTACAGGTGTGCATGCAGAGAGCACATGCTCAGCCCTGCTTCAGAACAGATCAGATCCCACAGCACTGAGTGACCCTGTGGTACAGCTGGGCAGCCCAGGCAGGTCTGTGACACGGGGCTGATTGTGACTTGGTTAAGTGCTGTGTTTGTGTTACAGTGTCCCCTGCCTTGAAGTGTCCCCTGCCTTCACAGTGCACCTATGGAATCCCACGTGAAGCACAAAGGTGAGACCAGGGTGAGGAGCTGGGACTCCTCAGGACAGCACCGACATCTTCCCTTCATGTCACTTCAGCTGTAAAAGAGGGGTCATGACTGTGTCACCAGGATTTGGGAATCTGATTAGCTACAGCCTGTAAAAGACTGAAGCAGACTTACTGTGAATCCTGGACCAGAGAGCAGAGAACAGGAGTCTGTCTCACAGGCATCTATTTATGCTGCCCTGGTTTTCTCCCTGTGCTATCGATCCAGCGGCTTGCTAAGATACAGCCCTGCCTGCTGTAGTGGTTTAATTCATTTTTAAGCATCATTATTTTTCATGTTGTGGTCTTCCCCTGCTTGGGGTGCTTCTCACTGCCCATCCCCAAAAATGTCCATTCCTGTCTGTCTCTAGGCGTGCGCTGCTCCCCCATGTGTGTGTGCACACCAGGGAGATGGAGAGGCAGCTTCAGCTACACTAAGCAATTAAACTCCGGTAGCTCAGGGATGAGCAGGAGGCCGTGATTTTCTTTTCCTTCGCAGTAATTGCCTCTGCAATCAGCTTTGATCACCCGAGAGCAGAGGAGATGAGTGCTGCAAGTTGACATCAGTGGTTTTAATATATCCATTTACATATACAGGAGCAGTGCAGCATACAGCTTTCCATAGCGCCTCTGACCTGAAACCATTGCTGCTCCATAGACACCTCATTTAATTTAATACTTCACCGCCACTGCGGAAGCCACAGGATGGGGATGGGAGGGGGGATAATCAAGCCCTCACTCTCTCGCTCTCCATGAATGTCTGTAGAAATGACATGAAAGTAATTGCTTTTGAAAAGCAAAGCAGAAATGGCACAATTGATTCCACTTAAATGAGAGGAGAAGGGGTGGGGGTGGGGAATGCTCACCCTAAACATGCCACCTTCTTTCCTGCTGCAAGCACATCACTGCGTGGGGCTGTGCAGGGACAGAGGAAAGGTGGGCTTGTCTGAATGGTATGTGGGGAAGGAGGGGAACACTGGCAGGCAGTGCTGCTTTGGGTAGGATGCACACCCTGGTGAGCTCGGACACACAGGCAGATGCTGCTCCATGGAGCCTTGTGACATTTCTTGTTGTCACAGCCTCTCCTGGTGCTGGGGAACTGGCAGGGAGCCTCATTGCATTGAAAATTCTAGAATCACTCTGCCTCCCAAACCCACTCACCTGCCTGGCAGCAGCGGGAAGGGTAATGGTGAGGAGACATCAGCTCCTCTCCATCTCTCATCTATCTCTCATTATCCCTGTTGACAAAGCTTTGTGAGCCCATGGCTCTGGAATCTATCCAGGCTGCTGCTGCTGGTGGGTGCCCACCCTTCTGCCCAGGACCTCCCAATGCCTGCTCTGTGAGCTGCCAGACACAACCCTTTGTCCCTCCCATCCGCAGGAGCTGGGACCTGGCTGTGCCAAGGTGTGGCCCTCCCAGTGCCATGCCAGCTCTGCAGGCCACACCCCTGTGTGCTACAATGCATCTTTAATGTAGACATTAACATCGTTTCATGTTAATTACATGCAAATTGATTATTAATGTATTTATTGAATGTTGACAGCTGGGTGACAGTCTTCAGTAAATATGTTTTACTAATCAGTTAACATCTAATTAATATCGAAATCCTCTCTAGGTTTAGCAAGAGTCAGTGAACATTGATGAGGCCTCTCTGTTGCTGCCAGTGTTAGTGGATGCCAGCAGCACTGTGCCCCGCAGCAATGTGGGGCACAGCTGGGCCCAGGGAGACCAGGGACAGTGTCTCTGCTGGCAGGACAGACGGACATGTGCTCCAAGGAAGAAGCCTCTGGGACACGTCACTCTTGGGAGAGCCCCCCTCCATGCAGCATGGCCCTCCCAAGGGGGTTAGCACTGCCAGCAGGAGCTGAGGTGGTGGTGGCAGCCAAGCAAGTGTCCACTGGAAGCTCTGGAGGTCCCTCTCCCCAGGACAGAGTGCTGCTTCCAGGCACACCTGGGCAGCAGAAGTGAGATGCTGTTCGCAGCTGCAGTGACAGTGTCGCTGCACACAGGACCCTTGGTTACGGCAGGGCGTGGCACAGTCCCCAGCCAGCAGTGCAGAGGAGTTCTTGTACTAAATTAAACCACCAAGCAGACCAATTCCTGAGATGCTTGCCCAGCATTTTCTCTTGCCTCTCCATTCTGAGCAGGGCAGGAGCCACGCAGAGCCAGCTGGCTGTGGCTCCTCTCACCCATCTGAAGAAGGCGAGCAAGCATCCCTGAGGGATCCATTCCAAGTCATCGGGGGAGAGTGGCTCCGCCTCAGGACTGTTGCCACACTGGGTCAATATTTGAGTCTTCTTGTGCTGGTGCTCCTTAGCTGACATTCATGATCCTTCCCTGCTCCCACCCTGTGGAAACTCCTTACACCTGGGACACCAAGAAGTGAAAACACTGAGCCCTCAGAGCTGCTCCTGTTCAGGCAGGACAGGAGGGGATGGCCAGGCTGGGGGGTACTCAAGCCCCTTCCCCTCTGCTCCAAAGACAGCACGGGAGAAATGCCTGATGAACTCAACATGTAGCCAGAACAGGAGCTGGGTATTTGGTTACTGGTTAGAATAACTTTCATCTTGCTTAGCTGCTCTTTGCTTCCCTCACCCAGGCAGTCTGACACCCCCTCCATGAGCAGAGGCAGGTGCCCCGCTGCGGTGGAGTCTCTGCCTTCCCTGAGTTGGACATGTCTGGTTGCTGCGGATGAGCATGTCAAATCACACCTACCATATTGGCTTCCTGTCCCCAGAACATCAGATTTTTGCAGCTGATGTGTGTGGGGGGTGTCTATTCCCGCCAATCCCCACCCCCAGCAGCATCAGGCCTGTGCTGTTCAGGGTTTTGTTAAGCCGTTTAGTATTAATTGATTTTTTTTTCCATTTTTTCTTTCTTTCCCTGGGCGGGTCAATAGCTGGATGCTCAAGAGCAGAGGATCTATCAACTGCAGACCAAGCAGAGGGAGAGGCAGGCAGAACTGGAGCAGAAATGCAGCCGGACGAGCAGCTCAGCCAGGACCTGGGGGCCAGCCACCAGCTGCAGGAGGGAGCCTGGAGCAGGTAGGAGAAGATGCCAGTCTGCACTAGCTTGGCAGCCCAGGCTGGGAAGGGAAGTCTCTTTGATGCATTCACAGCAATAGTCATAATCTGCTGCTCTCGTTTACATGGTAGCATAAGGAAGGGCTGAAGATGTGAGAGTAGAGTCTGTCACCTCCCAGGGAGGAGGGGAAGGTTGAGGGCAGCAGGGAGATGGCCACAGCTCTGCTGGCTGTAAATGGGTGCTGGGGTTGCAGTTGGTGTGGGGGTGTGATGGCTGTCACGCACAGATGTCCTGGGTGTTGCTCCTTCTGCTGACCTCGGAGAGATGGGAACAGGGTGGCCACAAAGACACTGCCTCAGGACAGCGCTGTCGTGGCTAGTGGTGACAGTGACGTGCCATGAGCCGGGTGATAAGGCTTGCTCAGACCTGTTCAGCTGTGCTGCTGTGGATGAAACCCTCAGTTTGCTCCTGGACATCAGGGTAGCAGCACCCTAATTTCCTGCTGGAGGCCTGCTGGGCAGCCTGGGCCAGTCTGCTCGGTGCCAAGTCTGTTTGACCCTGTGCCACCACAGCCCCTCTCTCCTACCCCTGTATTTCAGAAGCTGTAGGAGTCAGACCTTTGCTCAGTGTGTTCCTCTGGCGTGTGAGCCTGGCTTGGGAGAGCAGTCGCTCCCGCCTCTGCAGCCATCTGGCTGTCTGCCTGATGTCTGCTTGGGCACCAGCATTCCTCGGCATTCCTCAGTGGATTCTGACCACAAGCTCTTGTTCGGATCCACACAGCAAACGGGGGTGAGGAGAGCTGGTCCCGGAAACCTGGGCAGCTGCTGCCTCACGCTGAAGCATTACTTGCTTAACCTGGTACTCCCCTGTCATCCCCTTCAGCACCCCGTAACATATAAAAAAAAAGTGTCTATTTTAACAACTTGATAGTTAAATATGCTCAGGGTTCTGGTAGAATAAACCAGATACTTTTGACATGGGAGCACCAGCTGGTGCTGGATGGCAGGATGAGCTCAGCACTGCTGGTTTGTCTGAGCAGCAGCTCACTGCACAGCATTTAAAATCAGGAGAGGGGGCCCCCTTTATTAGTCAAAGGGGAAATATGTTGTTTCATTTAATGTGGTGATGATGAATATATTCATATAAATGTGTTCATATATATATAATAATACATATATTGCATCATATATGAACACAATGCACTGATTACATTCATTGCATTTGAAGGAAGGTAACGAGATGTTGTTCCATTAACACCCACATCATTCATTGTTCTGTGTGTGAGGAGCCAGCCCAGCATGTGGGCTGAGCTGTGCACGGTGAGTCCCCGCTCCCACTGCCCACTGCTCACGGTGTGAGTGGATGGATGCATTCTGCATATCCATATGGGTGACCGTGTGCTGATTTGTGCAAGGACAGCATGGGAAGGTGGGAATCACACTCTGTTTCTTCTTATTCCCTTCCCTTTCCATCTCCCAATCCATTGATACCAAATTCAGCTGAGCTTCATTCCTGGTTTCAGTGTGAAAGTGGCAGATAAAACAGCCCAGCTCTTAACTTTCTCTGACAAAACTCACAATTAAAGTACTGAGCATCAAGCCCTGTTGCATAAAAATATAACACTATTCTGTGGCAGAGCAGTGTTCTACCTGGCTCTGTCCCGGCTGCAGCTTATGCCTGGGAAAGAGCTCTTTTCCCCTGGGAAAAGTAGGAGAAACTTGTGATATCACCCCAAGATGCTCACCCACCTTCTGTGGTGGAAGGGCTTCCTGAGCCCAATCAGGAGTCTTTGTGTTTAACAGCCCTTGAGGAATTTTCATCTCTAACTTGTCAAACTAATTTTGTAATTCAGATCTTATCCCAGTTCTGCAATGTCCTGTAGCAGAGAGTTCCCCTGCTTGACCATGCATGGGCTAAGAAGCCAGCTCCTTTAGTTTGTTTTGAATCTGTCCCCTGACAATTTTCGCTGTTTTATTGAAAGAGACCATGAACAGTCATTCCTTAGTCATCTTCCTGTGACACTTCTGATTTTATAGACCTCTGTCATATTTCCTTCTCATCATCCTTCTTCCAGACAGAAGGGTTCCAATATATTTTTCTGAGCCAGCCCCAGTTGCTGATAAATCTCCTGGTGTGGGGGCTCAGGGCTCCCAAGGCTGGTGGTCCTGGGTGCCTGCAGCAGGCAGTACATACCAGGAGTCCTCTGCAAGGAGTGCCAGGTGTAATTTAACACTGGGAGCATGAGTTATGGTCCTGCCCTTTACAGAAAGGCTGGCAGCACAGTCCTGCCTGTCAGCTCAGTCCCCCACCTGATCATGAGCTTTCCTGGTGAATGAATCAGAATTTGGCATATTGTTCTTTAATACAGCCCCCATGCTAATGTCTTTTTGAAATGAAACCGAGAAAGCTGTTAACCTCAGTTAGCCAGCTGTCCTCACCGTGACCTGGATAAATCATCCAAGCAGGAGCACCGAAGAACACTGCTCTGGCTGCTTTGGAAAATGGAGCTGGAAGGCAAGGACTGTGCTTGCAGCTCATGCCAGGAAGACTCCTCTGCACCAGGACTTTGCAGCCAAAGGACCAGTGTGTTCCCACACTAGAGATGGGGCTCCAGGCATCTGAAGGCAGTTGGCTTTGAACTGATGCCTCTGGGATAGGAAGGGAGATGAAGAGGACAGTTTGGTGGCTGCCCCCAGAAGATATGGATCTACAGGAGTAGGGCATTTCTCTCCATGGGCTGTTGTGACTCTGGGAGCTGTTATCTTTATAAAGGCCTTGTTACTTCATCTGCTCTCAGAGGGCACTCATAGATGTTGCTCTGTGTGGTAGGGAGTACCACAAGACAGGGTTTCTTTTGTTATTTATGATATGATACGATATGTTTTGTTGTTTTTGTTCCTTTTTTTTTGTTTTTGCATGACTGAGGAAAATCACAACACCAGCTGTATGTAAGAAACTCCTGGAAGGAAGAACAAAGCCATCTGTTCTCCATGTCCATGAAGGAACACACAGGAACTAATGGCCAGAGCCTGCATCAGAAAAGATCCAGGTTAGGAAAAGCTTTCTAAAGGGGAGGAGAACAGAACAGGAGACAGACTGCCAGGCCCTGAGGATCTTGCATTACAGGAGAGCTTTAAGGACAGATACACAATATGCATGGCACTTGTAGGTTCCCCTGTCTCAGAATTGGAAGATGGACTATCAGCCTCCTGAGGTTCATGCTCATTTCTCAGTCTATCCCTGTTCACACCTTGAAACACAGCTCTGCCTTTGCCAGAGCCCCCCCACATCACCTTTAGTGCTGCCCCTTTTACTGCCGACCTGCCTGGTGCCAGGTTCCCCAGGAGGCAGAACACGTGCTGTAACATGCTGAAAGGAGCAAGCAGAGCCCAGAGGGTGTCAGTGGGTGATGAAGGCTCTGATACCACCATCTGCATCACATGTGCTGCTGTGCCGCAGGCTTTGGCCAGAGCAGTGCAGTCCCACCCGTGGTGGAGAACACAAGAGTGGATGAGGCAGAGATGGGAGGATAGATTTGTTATCAGAACGTTTGGATTCAATTTTCCTTCTCGTCAGAGTAGCTGTGTGCAGTTCCTTACATGTGCTGCTCTGCAAATGAGTTGTGCAGGACATGGCTGCAGTCAGAGACCACCTGGGGAGCATGGTCAGTCTGGGGCTCACAGATTGGCTGTGCAGGGTTTGGCCCAGGCACCACCAGGGCAGGGTCTGGCTGACGTACGGGCTCAGCTCCCTGGAGGCCGAAGGAGTCTGCTGCCCTTGGCCTTGCCCCACTGTGTGAGGGCAGACATGGAGTACCTCAGAGGAGGGTGGAATAGTGGCAGGCACAATACCCTACACCATGTACCCTATACCATGTACCATATACCCTATACCCTATACCCTATACCATGTACCCTATACCATGTACCATATACCCTATACCATGTACCCTATACCATGTACCATATACCCTATATCATGTACCCTGTACCATGTACTCTGTACCATGTACCCTATACCATGTACCATATACCCTATACCATACATGTACCATATACAATGTACCATGTACCATATACCATGTACCATATACCATACACCAGGACGCAGAGCCGCTCACAGACATCTCATCACTGTCAGCAGAGAGATAGGGACTGAAACACACGGCCACGACAGCCAGGGGAACTGCGAGCCGAGGTGAGCCGTGTTATTTGTGTAGACACCAGCAAGGAACCCCACCGGGCACCTGGATCTGAGAGCCAGTTCTACAACACAGGCATTAAAGAGGGAATAAAGAAAATAATAGAGCTTTGACTAAAATGGTCGGCAAGGCAGATTTCTCTCCATGCAGCCTCTGAAGGAGCAGACTTTGGGGCTGGGGAGGAATAGGCAGCCTCCAGGCTGTGAGGCTAATGCAGAACCATGGCTGTTTGTATAGCTGCAGAGCCTTTAAGAGAGACTTGGGAAAACTAGCTTGGATTCCAATGAATATTTACAATTACACTGCTCCAAAGCTGAATCCAATCACAACACTGCAGTGTGCAGGCTTTGTGCATCAAAAGAAAATGAGAGGAAAGCAGGAAAGATGGAGCTGCCTTTGGAGGGACTTATAAACACAGATCTCTCTGCTTGTGGCAGAACTAAAATGCTTTATTTCTGATAGGAGCAATTTGTTCTTCAGGCATTTTGCTTGATATTAGAAAGTGCCTGGCTGGTTTTTGAAGTAAGAGTCTTCAGTAGAAGGTCTTTAATTCAGAATGAAAGAAAGAAACGGGAAGTGTTGTGGTCTGTAATTTTGATATTGTACTAATGAACTCCAGAAATAGGGGAAATAGGGGAGCATTACTGAAATAGAGCAGGGGTCCCTTCCACTCGCTGTGTTCTTGGTCACTGCATAGAACCAGGCTGGGCATTTAAACCATGCTGCTAATATGGAATTTGGCTGGTTACTGTGCTGGTTGAGCACTCACTGCAGCTCAGTATTGGCCTCTTCGTTCTTGTAGTAGAAGGTATGCAAAAA